TGAAAGGCAACACATTACATACTATGCAATTCTATTCATGTGAAATGTTCAAAATAGGCAAAACGATAGACAGAATAAAGCTGTGGTGGCTGAGTGTTAAAGAGCTACACTTCCAACCCAAAGGCACACAGTTCAAATCCACTGTTGCTCCATTTCTCATGTGATTTACTGCCTCTGAAAACCCTCTAGAGGGTCAGCTATGAGTAAATTCTGACTTGGTGGCATGTAAAAACAAAAACAGCAACAAAAAAGTAGACTAGAGATTAGAATGGGTGGTGAGAGGGATGGAAGGAGGTTGAGGGGTTTCATTATCTCTTTCTACAAACTGGCATCATTTTTTTTAAAAGAGAAAGAACATTTCCATAGGTTAAGATACTGGTTTGTTTTGGTTTTCTCCAAGCAGCCTAAGGTAGCGCCCTTGGAAACAGGGGCTGCTCAGGAACAGCCAAGACCCTGAGGGGGAAGTCTGTAGCGATCTCCATCACTTCCTCCCAGGAAAATATGGATATTTTCCAGAGAGGCTCATCAGAATATCCAATCAAGATAAGCTTCTCTTCCCATTCCAGGGGCAAAATCTGACTAAAGTTAAGTAAACAAGGTTACCCCTTTCTACCTTGCTCGTGAACTGGTTTAGGGAAAGCTGTAACCAAAGGTTCCACCTTCCTAGGGAGGACTCTGTTAAAGAAATGTACAGGGGGAGCTCGTTTCCTACATTACTGTCAAGACTGAAGGACACCACACTCATCCCTTTATGATGGGGGTGCGAAGGGGAGCTCACTCCTCACAGGCTGTTTTAATCAACTCTAGAACTAAGTGACTCTGGATGAAATTCTTAAGCAGTAACCAGTATGTATGAGAGTGCAGTACATGTGTCTAGAGTCTCCATGGCTGTTTTTGGAAAGCAGATTGCAGGTCTTTTTGCAAAGGCACCAGAGGGTGGACTTCTGGTCAGCAGAGAACACAGGAACTTTCTGCACTGCCCAAGGACTCTGGATTAAATGAGTACATAAGCAATAAACTTCTATTTGGTCAGGCAGTAAATTCTTGTGGCCAAAAACCTCCATATACAAAACTCCAGAATTTTTCTAGTGACATGATTTTACTTATCTTCTTTATGCATAAGAATAAAAACTTCTTTCGCACAGCAAATAACAGAGAAGCATAATTTTTAAATTAGAGCTTACTAAGAATTCATTAGCTATGTTACCAAGAACTTTTGGCACCAGCAGCCAGGAAATCAAAATACATATTGCGATGGGAAAGTCTGCTGTTAGGGACCTCTCTAAAGTACCCAAGAGCAACGGTGTCTCTCTGGAGACTAAGGTGCGTCTGAAACAGGCCATGGTCTTTGCAATCACTTGTTATGCATCAGAGAGTTGGACAATGACTAGGGAGGATAGAAGGAGAATTGATGCCTTTGAGCTGTGGTGCTGGAGAAGAGTATTGAATGTACCGTGGACTGCCAAGAAAACAAACAGATTCATCCTGGAGAGGGTTAAATCAGGCTACTCCTTGGAGGCAAGGATTCTGGGGCTTCGTCTGACATACTTTGGACATGTTGCAAGGAGAGACAGGTCCTTGGAGAGGGACATCATGCTTGGGAGGGTGGAGGGACAGCGCAGGAGGGGAAGACCCTCTATGAGGTGGATTGATTCAGTGACTGGGGTAATCGGGATGGGTGTGTCAGAGACAGTGCGATTGGCACAGGACAGAGCGGCGTTTAGGGCTGTTGTACATAGGGCTGCTATGAGTCGCAAACGACTCAACGGCACATAACAACAACAACAACATCTAAGAAAGGTGTTATTTAATGCTTCACAATATTAACAACTTCAGGAATTGACTTAAACAATTTCCAATACAGAAACAAATCTGAACTCTTATATTCATTCTATAAATTTATATAAGTCCCTTCAAAGGGGGAGAGGGGAGTAAAAATTCACAAATAAGTTCAAGAGACACCTATTAAGATGGGTGAAATAAAAGACTATATACAATGAGGGAAGGAAGAACACACAGACAAGTACTTCAAGACTGATGGAAATCTCAAGTATAGAAGGAAAGCACAATTACATGGCTGGTATTCAAATTAATGGTCAGAACAAAATGTAGATAAATAGTTGAATGAAAAATTAATTTACTTTGTAAACCTTCACTCAAATCACAATAAAAATGGTTTTAAAAAAGAACTTCAGAATATTTAACTATAAACTGAGTTTACTTAGACTCAGTGTCCAACCACAACTGAATGGATTAATGTGATACGTCACACAATGGAATATTATGCAGCACTCAGGAAAAAACAATTTCGAAAATTACTACATAACTTAAGAGGGACTAGAGAACATTATGTTGAGTGAATTAACTCAGTCTCACAAGGACAAATACTGCAAACGTCATTACGGTAAAAATAGCAGGATAAGTGATAAGGGTCTAAAAGTCCAAAGAGGGAAGGGGTGGGAGCAGGAGGGTTGAGTCGGGGAAGCTACAGGGTCACAGAGTTTGGTGGGCAGAGAGAGGGGTTGAAGGAAGTAGGAAAGATCCAGTAGGATCTGAAAAGGACGGGGTAAGAGTGGATGCGGATCAACCGGACTGATTTTATAAGATGCAATGGACAGGAATGATCATATGAAACACAATGTGAATGAAATAATGTGTGAAATACACTGTATATGAATGAAAAAAACTTTTAAAAGGGGAGGAAAAAATATCTAGAAAAAAAGGCTGCATATTTCTTATGATGACATTTTAAAATAAATACCCTTTTTTCACCTTGATGGAAATTTTTGTAGCTAATGTTCTGCCATTATGAACAAATCTGTTTAAATATCCTCAAAAAAAAATATTAAACAATACTTGAAATGTGCGCTTCCCAGTGTGCGTACTTAACAGCATTGCACCTGTGTTTCCTCATCTGAACAATGTCGAGAAGAATGTCTGACTATTGCTTTGTATTTTATTTAAAGAAAAAATAACTGCAAATTCAGTTTCAAGTCAGATGCTATTCCCAATATTTAAAGAAACTGATTTTAGAAATAAATCCATTATTTTGATATAAAGTTTAAAAACCTTACACTGCCTACTGAATTAGTGGCTTTTATGTCAAAACAGTGAATCTCATTACATGCACCTACACATTGCTGTTACAATTCTAAAAAGATCCCTTTCAGGAGGACAAAAATAGAAAGAAAATATCTTAACAACTTAAAATAGAAAACAGTTAATATTTTTTACAAATCAGTACCACACTATTCAAAAATTAAGAAAATGTCACAAAAGTAAAGGTCTAAAAGCAATCATAAAAATATCTGTCATTAAATGCCATGTATCACTGAAAACAGCTATTAGTAAATAAGGAATCACTTTCAAAAGGGGCCTACCTAATCTGGCCTCCATTTCTGGGGAACAGACCAGGAAAGGGTAGTCATCGACACGCTAACTCCCACCGACATCCCAGCAGAGACCTGCTGTTCCAAGTGATGACTCGGAATCACTGTTAACTGTGGAAATCCGTGACTAACAGGAAGAGGTCTTATAGAGATGGAGGAGAGACTGGTCAGAGGAAGTGAATTCTTCTAGTCTAACCCTTCTCATGGGAGGATCTACTAGTATTACCAAAAACAAGACTAAAGTCAAAGTTGGCTTTGTCCTTTTAACACTTCCAGATCCCTACAGCTTTTCCTGTCTGCCTCAAAGAGGCAGGGTGATCAAGAACTTATGTCCACAGGGTCTACACTGCCCTATGTCAGACCCTTCAACAGGTTTCCAAGGCTCACAAGAAGACTACCCATCCTTCTCAGGCTGAACGGAATCGTCAAGAGGTACACAACCTGTGGGTTAGAGTCCAATTCCCTACAGACTAGGCCAGCAGAGCTCCCCAGGTGATCAAGAGCTCCACTTAGCAGGTCTCCTAACCCTGAATTAGTACATATATTTGCAAATCTAAACGTCAAAGCAATTCACTTAGAAACATGTAGAGGAGGAGGATAGCATTTTGATCTGTACCCAATGTCAAAAGGAATTAACTTGATAAAGATTAATACTCACTCAGATATCCAAATTGAAAAACTAAACATTTTACTACCTCCCTGAAACAGAACAATCACAATAACACTACAGCAAAGAAGAGGGTTCAGGATAAATTTACATGGGACTTTCATAGAACTATAATAATCTCAAGGTCAGTTCTGCAGTTGCTACACATATCCAATAGTTACAAAAACTTTCTCCCCAATTTGTAATTCAGAGGTAAACTTGTTTCCAGTAAAAATGTACACACTGATGATTCTGATCTTTATGGAGTAAATAATGCATTTTTAACCTCTATTTAAAAATTATTGGTCATTAGGAGACATACATACATAGGAAATGCTCTCTGTCTGTATATATATTCATTCTTTCTAAAACAGTCTCATTGGTCAGGCCTGAGTATGAAATTTACTGTACCTTTAAATTTGGAAACTATTCAAATAATGTCTTTACTGAGTTAGGCTCAATTAGGCAAAATTGATGAAAAGAGTCTTTGTAAAACTCTCAGCATGATTATTTACAGAAGAAAATTTGACCACACAATAATTAGATTTACAATAAATGTAACAGAAATGTCTTTCATTTCAAGTGTGCAAAAAAACACTGATCTGAAATATACACTGAAGTATTCAGAGAAGAGGTATCACGACGTTTACAATTTACTATTAAATGGGGTCAGAAAAAAAGGGGACAGACATAGTATATGAGAGAGAAAGAGAGATCAATATAAGTGAATGAGGAAAATGAACATTAGTGGAGAGTACACAGATATGAGGAATATTCTGTACACAGAAAATGTCAAGGTCAAAAGTTAGAAGGCAATCATAGGCTTCCAGATTAAGAGCTCTTGTGCCCACATTTAAAGCAACTCTAAAAGAACTGTTACATTTTTTAAATAAAAGTCACAATTCTAGGAAAGAGCACTGCTGAAGTCATTTTAAAAGCTAGAATCAGTGAATTAATTGTTTTACCTGAAAGTTAACATCTTCTTTTTTAAATATTAGTGCACGGACTTCATCAGGATCTCCATTAAATATAGCTTGCACCAATGATGGCTGAAATATAAGAAAAGTAATAAAAACATTAGTTACACTTAGCACACTGTAGATTTGAATAACATTTCCATACAATTTCCAAATCTAAAAAACTTCCTAGAATAACAGTCACTTTTATAAGCAAGAAGTTTATAAAGCAGAGGGCAGGCCTACTCGACTCGATTGTAAGCCCATAGCAACACCAAGGAGGAGGATAAAGGTGGGGTGTCACCTCCATCAGACTTTGATAAAGATGTGTAAGAAACACAGTTAGACTTTAAGTTAGCTTTATATACACTGATGCCTGTTTTCAAACTATGATGAAGTCTTCCAATACCAGTATGAATCTGGAACTCTAATTTATCAATCAAGCAGCTCCAAGTCCATCTAAAGTCCCTCAAAAAGCTCTACTTGAATTATCAAAATAGTCGGCATGAGTTAGCATTAGAAGTATAAAGTTGTAAATCCCAAGAAAGCAAATTTGGCAGTTGATGAAGATTACTATTTGAAAATACAAAAACATACTATACACCTGAATGGCATGAAGAGACAAACACATGCATGTCTAAATATAACAATTTCCTAATCTTCAGTACAGCCTCTGATAGGGTGTCAAATTATACCAGTGGGAGAAGCCAGTTAACAAACAGCATCAGAAAGTTAAAGATGAGGTCGGATTCTTCTTCATAGTAAGTCTTGCAAGTAACTACATCAAATCCTCCAGTACAGAAAAGGCCACGCCTCAGTGCTGCTGGCTGTCAAGGTTTCCCAAAACATAAGGAGTTCTGGATTTTTCTTACATCACTTTGTAAACTCACACAAAGAAAACGGTAATGGCACTCCTAACTACTATTTTAAATTTTTTAAAAAATCATTTTAGGAGATTAAGGGAGTAGTCCTAAATATTATAAAATTCCCCACTAATTCAACAGCGCACAGTAAACAAGTAAACACTCATATCTTACCAATACACTTGCAGAAGGGAGAGCATGGTTTTCCTGTGGCAAGTTAGAAATATACACAGGGGACTCATCTTCCACCTCCTCCAAAACAACAATACACACTCGACTCATTCGCTCTGTTAAAATCCTAAATTCAAAGCTCTGTGATCACAGCGACAGCTGGGAGGGCGCAAGTTTCTCCTCCTCTTCTGTCCGACACTCACGAACATTCTCTGCGAGCAGTGCAGCTGGTTTTCAAAGTTACTAGATATTACAGAATTATGACCACCTAACTCGTAACATTCTAAAACCAACAATTTTTTTTCTGTGTTATTGCAATACTTAGACGAATGTACACATCAACACGTCAATATAGAAAAACGAGCCCAGTATAAGCTCATGTAGACATCCTGTCCCCTGCTGAAGTAGTCATATTGCTCTGACAGGGAGCTCCTGGCACCGGAAGGTCACTCTCTTTGGTGTGATGCCCCACAGGACGCAGAATTAAATGAAAAACTGATGCTGGGACGGCTGGCCACTACTTCACTGTTCGTTCTCCCTGAAGGTCACGGAGTTAGATCAGTAGCTGCTTTCTTGAGCAGGAAAAAAACCCCTCACTGTTCTGTTCCCTTCTAATTTGTCTTCATTTCTTCAGCGTCACTTGTTTAATGCAGATACTCTCCAGAAAAAAAAATGTGACACACAGAGAATCCATCCAGGGCTCAGCACAAATCCTCAACAAGAAGCTTGGAGGCTGGAAATTCTTGTGTTTGGGGAAGGAAGGTGGTGGTGGAGGACTCCGCATTAAGAGCAAAGCTGCAGTACATTGACATGCGATGAGTCAGACCACTAGAGACAATGAGACTCTTGGTACTGGAAATACAGCTTGATTATCCAGACTTCCCCAGTAATGGCAGGCACACAGATCGCTTTATTCCCATGTACAGCATACGCGAGCAGGATGTTCGTCCGTTCCCCACCGGGCAGCTGTCTGCGGCTGCTCCGACACAAGGGCACAGGCAGCGGGCAGCAAAGGAGAGGAGGACCCCAACCGCACGCCGGCTTCCAGGCTCAGGTTACAGCTTCTCACTTCTTTTAAAAAATGAGTAAAAGGAGGAATCCCTGTAAAAATAGCAGTTTATCACACCAGTGTTTCCTTTGATCGCCACATGAATACAGCTTTCAGTAAACAGTTCTTCATTCAGAGGAAAAATAGTGGCCTGTGCATCTTCTGTGAGCCAACTACTTTCTCTCCCTCCTCGGCCTCTGTGCCAACAGCTCCCTTCCACTGTGAAAACCACTTCAGCTATCCTTCTCGGTAGATTGCAGAGGTCTTCCTGTCCCACCGACGATCTTGCAAAACACCTCTATCACCTCGAAATAAGGAGGCCCCTTAGAGATCCGAAAAGCCTGGGGCTCTGCGCCCGAGCAGCTCCAGCAGCAGCAGCAGCAACCCCGTCTTCCAGAGAAGCGACGGCAGCCCGCAGGCTGGCAGGCCGGAGCGCCTCGGAACGCTCACACTGCACTTACCAGAGCTGAGCCACGCTCAGGATGGGACTTCCTCCAGCAGGAGAAAAAACAGCGCGCTGGACAGCCTTCTCAATCAGACCCCTCGGTGCCAACCCTGTGACTAATCCAGTTCAAACCGACACATTCTAGAACTCAAAAATGAGGGCGCTTTTAACATTTTCCACTAAAAGCCGCAAGGAAATGTGGTGTGCTGCTGCCTCTGCTGACTAACATTGCCTTCAGCAAGTAAACAGTCGCAAACAGCTGAACTGCATTCGCATGTCACAGACAGCAAGGCTTAACCCCAGAATGCCAGCTGCAGCGAGAATACAGCCGCAGTGAACTCGTGAAAAAGATGCAGAGGTGGGGACAAGGGCTCTAGTACGACAAAACCACACACCTATGGGGCTGGGGGGGGGGGTACCGAGATAACTTTTAATCTATCAAATCAGTGGTATTTTTATGATTCTGTAATAATTTCTAATTGACTTACTAACAAATCACTCATTCACATTTCAAAGCTAAATAATTAAAAATTCTATAATGTGGAAATTTTAAGTCTAAAATCTGATAAATACTTGCATTTTAGCTAAAGAAATTAAGAGCGTCTGCTTCTCTAGGTGGAAAATAGAATGAAGCATCATGAATCAATTAAACGTCTACACAAACAACTGAGTAAGCCCTTAAATATAACTGAATTATCTACATACCAAGAGGGCACAAGAAAAACACAAAACAAACACCCTCTTCTCCTCCACAAGATGATGGCCGCAAAGCTACAAATAACTGTCAAAAAACAAGAAATCTGCACTTGGCCATTTTTTCTTTGCGGTCAATGACAGGGAATATTTCTCAACAGAAAAATGATAAATACCATCAAGTGGTATCTTCATTAATAAACATAAGCCGTTATTTTTAGTATTTATGATGTGCTGCTATCGTTATGTACTGTCTGTAGGAAAAGACTCCAAGCTGATCTCCACTGGGTTTTAAGAGGCAGTAAATCACATGGGAGGAGACTACCGGCTTTCTCCCATGGAGCAGCTGGTGGATTTGAACCAAGGTTCTCTAAATTGGCAGTGCGACGCCTTACTATTAACCCATCAGTGCTCCTGTCTGATGTGCTCGGTACTGTATACTGCCATTTAATATGTTGCATAGCTTTGCTATATTTTCATATTATAAGACAAAATCGCCCAGAAATTAAGTATTATAGTCAAAGTCATGCAAATCAGTAAAGTTGTTCTAACTCCAACTATCTGCTCCAATTCTTTCATTGTGTGCATGTACATACGTATGTGCATACATACATATATATATACATACATACATTTAAGACTGTTTGCTAGCTTATAAAAGTGGTCTCAGAGGATATGTACTCGATCTATGATGGCTGTGAAAAGTTTAAAAACAAAGCGATATACTACTATCGTAATATTCCAAAAAGTTCTTTTTAAACAGGAATTTCAGTATATGAAATACCCATTAACTCATGCATTAGTATTTTGATAAGTATCGCCAAACTATAAAAAGGAACAAACACCAAATCCAGGATAAAAAAAAGAATGTCAGAAATTAAATAAACAAATAAAAAGTATCAAGTTACAATCTGAGAGAACCCATTCATTACCTTACAGATCTGAACTTAAGTACTGTAATGTGTGTGTGTCTAATTTCCCCCCCCCTTGTTCCCCCGCAGATGCTCAGATGGAAAAAAGTTCAAAGGAGCTTTCCTCAAAGCAGTGCAGCTACTCTGGTATCATCACATTACTCAAAAGTTGTATTTTTAAATGTAAAATGGAATTAAGCCACACTCAAAGTATGAAAATATTTCAACACACACAAAAAAATTAACCAGCTCCACAAGAGACTGAAATACATCATTTTAGTATCTGAAAATGAAGCTACTATAGTAACAATATTCCATTTTCAGTGTCTGTGTCCCATTAATATGGTTTTACAAAGGTAGTTTTCATTTGTTTCAAAGCAACAGTGCATGAAGGCACTTCCTGGAGGCCAAACAGGTGCACTCTGAACCTGGCTCTGGACATCTCCACACTGAGGTGCTTCCTAGCCAGAAAGGCAGTGCCTTGCGGGCAGAGACTTTCTCTCTCTCTCTCTCACACACACACACACACACACACACGCCTTCTACTCCCCATCCCCCATCTGTAAAGAAATTAATTTCAATGACTACTACTGTCACATGCTGGGTAGAGTAGAGGGACAGTGCAGGAGGGGAAGACCCTCTATGAGGTGGATTGATTCAGTGACTGGGGTAATCAGGATGGGTGTGTCAGAGGCAATGAGATTGGCACAGGATAGAGCAGGGTTTAGGGCTGTTGTACATAGGGTCGCTATGAGCAGCAAACGACTCGACGGCACATAACAACAACAACAACTACTGTCACACAAGATTCTTGAGGAGTAGGAGAAATCCACCAGAGATGTGCTGTACAGAGAAAGCACATTTGATAAAAAAGTGCTGACAAACAAAACCTGCACATTTTGAAGTTCAACCCCCCCCCCACACACACACACACACACACACTACCACCAGTCAGGAAAAGAGCAAGGGATGCGGCTTTTCTTTAGGTGGTTATTTTAATAAGCAGATAAATTAAGTTTTTAATAAACTCAGTGACATAATCCACACTCTACAGTGAAACGTTTCTGCTCACTCGCAGACTCTCATTAGTACAGCTGGCCCATGAAAACATTAAGACCTTCAGAGATTTCCTGGTGTGATGCTACTTTTGTTGAACAAGCATTTCTCTGGTAGAAATGGGTATTTTCTTGACCGTAAAAACAGCAACACTACAAATTTAACTCAAACCATACTTTATTTCATATACAGCTGTAAGCTGTATTATCATAAAGTATTTCACTTAGGGTCTAAGTGTTACTCTGTGCCAAGTATCAAAATTAGCTTTGAATTTTAGGAGAAACACATACTATATAAACACAGTTACTAGAGGATAGGAATGGAATCAACACAAGCAAAGACACATGAACTCAGAACAGATGAGATTAACCCTGGACATGTAAACTATTTATTTACTAGGTCATTCTTATGTAAAATAGCTGACTAAGCCATGCTCTCCAAACAGCTGTCATTTCAATGTCACCTGAAGATTAAGTGTCATGTCAATGGTACTATATTAATCTTATATGTTCTTTGCAAAGACCAGTATTTGCACCCATTTTAACACTCAACTAAAACACACTCTACTTTTGTGTAAGTACAAACCCTTCCAGAAAGAAAACTCCATGTCTCAACCTCCCGTGGACCTAGCAGCTGTGTAATCTTGTTACGTGCCTTTGAGTCAAGTACACCTCACATGGCAACAGAGCTCCACCATCGTCATCATCTCCAACAAGCTTAAGCCCACTGCCATAGTCACTGTATCAATCTATTTCACTGAAGGTCTTCTCTCCAAGCATGATGTCCCTTTCCAAGGAACAGCCTCTCCTAACAACCTGCCCAAAGTATATGAGTCTGAGCCTCCCTGTCCTCGCCTCTAAGTAGTATTCAGGGTCGCACATTCTCTCCATCTGTCCTTCTTGCAGTCCATGGCACACTCAGGACCCTCCTCCTCCAACACCTCAACTCAAAAACACCTTTTTTCCTGATCACAGATGTTTGGCCACCATCTCAAATCCAACAAGGAACAGATTTTAAGGTAGTCGGGCAAACAGGCAGGAAGGAGCTGGGTCTCTAAAGATGCTGTGGGGTTCGAATGGTCATCTGAGCCCAGGATTACTACTTCCTGACTTTGATGTTAGAGAAAACTTCTGCCTTGTTTTAATAACTTCTGAGTTGCTAATACTTTGCCCTGAAACTAACAATGACTGCTAATCTTGTAGTTTCCTTAGCTGTCTCCGCAGGGAGGCTGCCTTCATTGTAGGCGTCCTTGCGCCCACTGTGACACAGCAACACCACGGACAACAGACTCAAGGGGTACAGTCCCACGAAGACAATTAATGCAAGGATATCTGTCAGAGTGCACTTCATTTCTAACAGTGTTTAAGTTAAAACAATTTGGGATCTTTTCCTTTCCTGAATTTACATAATGAGAAATGCTACTTTTAAAATCCTATTTATGGTCCCTTTTAAGCTTTAAAAATGTTAAAATTTTTAATTTAAAAGCTTTATTTTAGCACTTACCTTTATGATTTTAAAATTAAGTATTAATCTTAAAATTGTCTCATTATAAGTGAGTATAAAAATGTTAATGATGATAGGGGATTTGGGTCAAACTCACTCAAAGTCTAATATACTGAAATAATCGGTGTATTGCTTTGGCTTGGGTGCTAAAATATCTTAAAAAATATATCCATCCACCAAAAATGCCACAGTAATGATTCAACAAATATTTAATATACTTATTTGTACTTCCTACCAAACAAACTATATCAAAGATTACAAAATAAATCCATATATCATTTCCATCTTCAGCAACAACCTCATCAACCCAACTACAGTGGTTGGCTATGAACAGAAAGGGAGACTGGTTGAACTTCCCCAGTGACTGTGGCAGGAAAGCTTGTCTTTCTGCTCCTGGTAGGTTTCAGCTTAGAAAGAGGCAATTTTCCAGTCATTTGGGAAATAAACTGTCACGAGCGGAAATAAACTGGACAGCAACAATAAAACATACAAGAGGAGAACTTCAGTTCCTCAATCTGTCACTGTTCAACTTTCACATGAATACAAAACTACTGAATCGCATGAGCCAAATCTTATGTCTTTAAACTGACATCTTTACTCTGTAATGAGACCCCTGAGAGAAGATCTGTCCATCTTTTTATTTTTCTGACTGCTGCAACCCTGATTACTGATTGTGGATCCAAGTAAAACTAAGTCATTGACAATTTTATCTTTTCTCTGTCTACCATTAATGCTGCCTCCTGTCCCACTGGTGAGGAATTGTGTTGTCTAGACATGGAGATATAATCTTTATTGAAGACTGCAGTCTTTGATCTTCTGCAGCTAGAGTTTCCAAGTCCTCACTTTGAGCAAGCAAGACTGAGCCATCTACATAACACAGGTTGGTGATGACTTTTCCTCCAATCCTGATGCCACATTCTTCCTTACACAGCCCAGTTTCTCTATTTGCTCAGCAAATTGAATAGGTATGGAAAAGTGGAACAGCCCCAATGTACATCCTTAATTTTATGCAATTGTAGGGGTCCCTTGTTCTGCTCAAATGGCCACTTCTTGATGTACAAATAG